GATGGTATGCGAGCTGCCGCTCTGTTCTGGGGTGACATCACCGCATCCTTCGCGGTTCCTTCCTATAAACACAGCTTTGAAAAACGGCAGGTCAAGAGCAGTCGAGGCTTGCAGGCTTGGCTCGGCCAGCGAGGTGCAGGGGGAACAGGAAGCCCGAGGAGGACACTGTCTCCCAGAGCTTCCCAGCGTTGGCTCTTCAGATATACACAGAGCGCCACCAGTGGTCTCCTCACACAGGCTGCAGAAGACAAGGTTCATTTATTCATTTGGGGGGGCAAGTGGGAGGAGGGGAAGGTGGGGGGAGAGAGAGAGAATCTGAAGCAGATGTCCCGCTGAGCATGGAGCCCAACACGGGACTCAATCCCACGACCTGGAGATCACGACCTGAACCGAAACCAAGAGCCGGATGCTCGATGGAGTGAACCACCCAGGCGCCCCCAGAAGATTTGCTTCCTGGCAAATTGTTTTGAGCAGTGATTGTAGGAATTTGCAGTTCTCCAGCATACAGGGGTTTTCTTCCTTCCTCGCCACCGGGCAAGAGCTCGTGTCATTATGCCCTTTAATTTGTGCCCACCTGAGGGGTACGGAGTGGAAGGGCAGCTTATTTTAACGGCTCCTGGATTCCTGATGAGTTTGAACATCTGTTCTTTCCTTGTACAGTTGCTGCTATTCTGATTGGACTGTCCTGTGTCCTTTCACTTCTGCCTGGTTTTGTGCATTTGCCTTTTTCTCATGGATTTGTTGGTGTTCTTTGTACATGCTGCATACTAATCCATTGTCAGCTATACGTGGTAAGAATATCGCTTCTCACCCCATGGCTGTCTTCTGACTCTGTGTATAGGTTTTAGTTTCAGAGAAAAATGTTAACGTTTCAAATGTGAAAAAAGAAATTACACGAAATACATCCCACTTAATAATAATATCAAAAGGAATAAAACACTAGGGGGAAAAGTTTAGCCAAAGAGGTGAAAAATCTATGCTCTGAAGACTATAAGACTTTGAGGAAAGAAATAGAAGAAGACTGGGGCGCCTGGGTGGCTCAGTCGTTAAGCGTCTGCCTTCGGCTCAGGTCATGATCCCGGGGTCCTGGGATCGAGCCCCGTGTCGGGTTCCCTGCTCGGCGGGAAGCCTGCTTCTCCCTCTCCCACTCCCCCTGCTTGTGTTCCCTCTCTGTCTCTCTCTCTCTGTTAATAAATAAATAAAATCTTTTTAAAAAAGAAAATTGAAGAAGACATAAATACATGGAAAGATATCCTGTGTTCTTGCAGTGGAAGAATTAATATTGTTAATGTATCCATACTACACAAAATGACCTATAGATTTAATGCAATCCCTATCAAAATTCCAATGGCATTTTTCACCGAAATAGAAAAAAATAATCCCCAAATTCACATGGAACCACAGAAGACTCCCAAATAGCAGAAGCGACCTTGAAGAAGAAGGACAAATTGGAGGCATCACATTTCCTGATCTCAAACCATGTTAAACAGCTGGATGGTACCAACATACAAACAGACACGTGGACCCACGAACAGAATAGAGCGCCCAGGAATACATCCACACAGACACGGCCGCCTGATCTTTGACAAGGGTGCCAAGAACACATAATGGGGAAGGGACAGTCTTCAATAAATAATATTGGAAAAACTGGACATCCACATGCCGAAGAAGGAAACCGGACCCCTACCACTCACAAAAAATAACTTGAAATGGATTAAAGACTTCAGTGTAAGACCTGATGCCATAAAACCTCTAGAAAAAAACACAGGGAAGAGGTTGCTTCTTTTTTTTAAAAAGATTTTATTTATTTATTTGTCAGAGAGAGAGAGAGAGCACAAGTAGGGAGAGCAGCAGAGGGAGAGGAAGAAGCAGTCTCCCCAGTGAGCAAAGAGCCCAATACTGGGCTCGATCCCAGGACCCTGGGATCATGACCTGAGCCGAAGGCAGACGCTTAACTGACTGAGCCACCCAGGTGTCCCTGGGGATGAGGCTTCTTAACATTGGTCCGGGCAACGAGTTTTTTGGATTTGACACCAAAAGCAAAAGCAACAAAAGAGAAAAAAATAAACAAGCAGGACTACTTCACACTAAAAAACTTCTGTACAGCAAAGGAACCATCGACAACATAAAAAGGCAATCTACAGAACAGGAGAAAATATTTACAAAGCATATCTGATAAGGGGTTAATACCTGGTATGTATATATAACACACATAACCTCGTAGTAAAAAGCAAACGAGAAAATAACCTGACTATAAAATGGGCAAAGGAACTGATTTTTTTTTTCCAAAGAAGACATAGAAATGGCCAACAGGTACATGAAAAGATGCTCAGCATCACTCGTCATCAAGGAAATGCAAATCCAAACCACAATGAGATACCACCTCACACCTGCCAGAAAATGGCTGTCATCAAAACAAGAGACCTCATATGTTGGGATGTGGAGGATAGGGAACCCTTGCGCAATTTTGGTGGGAATGTAAATCGGTGCAGCCATTTTGGAAATAGCATGGAGGTTCAAGAAGTTAAAATAGGACTTCCGTGATCCAGTAATCCCACTTCTGGGTATTTACCCAAAGGACATAAAGTCCCTATCTCAGAGCGATATCTGTACCCCACATTCACTGCAGTATTATTCACAGTGACCAAGACATGGAAATGACCTAAGTGTCTGTCAGCCGATGAATGGATAAAGAAGATGTGGCATATGTACAATGGAATATTATTTGGCCTCAAAAAGGAAGTTCCGCCATTTGCAACAACATGGATGGACCTAGGGCGCCTAGGTGGCTCAGTTGGTTAAGCGACTGCCTTCAGCTCAGGTCATGATCCTGGAGTCCCGGGATCGAGTCCCGCATCGGGCTCCCTGCTCGGCAGGGGGTCTGCTTCTCCCTCTGACCCTCTTCCCTCTTGTGCTCTCTGTCTCTCATTCTCTCTCTCAAATAAATAAATAAAATCTTAAAAAAAAAAATGGATGGACCTAGAAGACATCATGCTGAGTGAAATTTAAGTCAGGCACAGAAAGACAGATACTGCATGCTCTTACTTACCTGTGGAACTAAACAGTTGGAACTCACTGAAACAGAATGGAATGGTGGCAACCAGGGGTGGAGGGGAGGAGGGGTGGGGAGACATCCATCAGAGGGCACAAACCTTCAGTTATAAGACGAGTAATTTAGAGGGATCCAATGGGCAGCATGGTGACAATAGTTAATGATAATGCATTGTATACTTGGCATTTGCCAAAACAGGTCTTGTGTTCTTACACACACAGACGATAAGTATGTGAGCTAACGGATGTGTGAATTAGCTAATTATTGTGGTCATTTCACAATGCATATGTATACCAAATCGTTACATTTATAATTTTATTTGTAAATTATATCTCAATGAAGCTGGGCAAAAGCTATAAATAATACAATTTATTTTTAATTTTTCTGAGTTTTGCTTGTGTTTTGTTTAAAAAGAAACTTCTTCTGCTATGAATAAGGCCATACTAATTTTTCTTTTAAAAATATTAAAGTTTTACTTCTTACATTTAGGTCTCAAACGCACTGGGAACGTACTCCTTTTTTGTAGTGTGAGGCATGAATCTAATTCATTTTCACACACGTGGACACCAATGGTCTCAACACCATGAATTCCCTCCCCATGGACGTGTCAAGTACCCATTCCGTCCCACATATGTCACTTTGCCAGTCGCTCCAGCTCAAAGCCTCGCTCAGGGCCACCCCGACTCCTCTACCTGAAGCCCACTCCAGTCACAAAGTCTGAGAGCTCTACCCTGAAACAAAGCTCCCCAAACCAGCCGTTTCTCACCCAACACCAAACCACCCCCACCTTCTGCCTGGGTTGCTCCATGGCCTCCCAGCCAGTTCCCCTCCCTCATCTCTTGCTCCCCTACAGCCTCTGGTCCATGCAGCAGCAGAGTTAGTTAGGTCTTTAAAAATTCGTCGATCATCCCATTCCCTGCTCACACTGAGAATCCAGTTCACAATCCTACTGTGTCCGCAAGACTCCCCCGTGCCCTGGTTGCTGGCTATCCCCTTACCTAGTTTCCTGCCTCCCCCGCCCTCTCTGCCCCTTCTCTCTCTGTCTCTGTCTCTCTCTCATTATGCTGCAGGTGGGAGGTGGCAGCACCTCAGGGCCTTTGCACTTGCTATTTCTTCTGCCTGCCTTTTGTCCCCCCACGAGGCAGGGGCACAGCTTGCTTTAACCTCATTCAGTTTTCTTTTTTCTTTTAAGATTTATTTATTTGACAGAGAGAGACACAGCGAAAGAGGGAACACAAGCAGGGGGAGTGGGAGAGGGAGAAGCAGGCTCCCCGCTGAGCAGGGAACCCGATGCGGGACTCGATCCCAGGACCCTGGGACCATGACCTGAGCTGAAGGCAGACGCCCAACGACTGAGCCACCCAGGCGCCCCTCTTTTTTTCTTTTTCAAGATTTATTTATTTATTTGAGAAAGAGAGAGAGAGTGAGTGTGGGGCAGGGAGAGGCGGACGGAGAGGAAGAGAGAGAATCTTCAAAGCAAACTCCCCACCAAGCATGGAGCCTGACCCGGGGCTCGATCCCACAAACCACGAGATCATGACCTGAGCGGAAACCAAGAGTCAGACGCTCAACCGACTGCTTGCTTTCTCCTCCACGACTTTTATTCCCCAGCTGCTTTATTGACTACCATGCAGTATTGACATCCTTGTTTATACACCGGCTCAAGATTTTGTTCATTTATTCATTTTTTTGGAGAGAGGCCAGGTATAAAGAGAATAAAGAGAAACAGAAATACATAGAGTTCATTGTTTGCAATAAAAATACTTCTAAAAAACTTTTTTTGTATCATATGTTTTAATGTTTTTATTGACATCATTGCCACATAACATTACGTTAGTTGCAGGTGTACAATGTAATGATTTGATATTTACATACGCTGCAAGTGGTCACCAAAACATCATCACCTCACATCGTTTTCAAATTTCTTTTCTTTTTTTTGTACCCCAAGAAGCTGCAAAAAGAGCATGGAGATTTTTAAATGGGTTCAAAAGAGCAACCTAGCCAACTTCAAAGGTTCAGTTTGAATAACCATTTTATATTGAATTAGTAAATCAGGAAAAATAAGAGCCATTAATCTGGCAAGATTCAAATGCTAACTTTACAAAAAGAGGACTTTATTTGAAAAACCCTACTTAAAAATCAAAATCCCATCCTGGTCCAATTCTTTTGTCTTTCCTTTCCTTTTCTTTCTTTCTTTCTTTCTTTCTTTCTTTCTTTTGTTCTTTCATTCTTTCTTTTGTTCTTTCATTCTTTCTTTCGTTCTTTCTTTCTTTCGAGGGGGGAGCAGAGGGACAGATGGAGATGGAGAGAGAGAATCCCAACCGAATCCCCCGCCAAGTGGGGAGCCCAATGGGGGGCTTGATCTCACCACCCTGAGATCATGACCTGAGCCAAAATCAAGAGTCAGATGTTTAATCGACTGAGCCACCCAGGCGCCCCCATCCCAGTCCATTTTATTGCATTTATTAGATTTATGTGCTACCTTATAGGAACCAAGACTCAACAGCTAGAACAGAAACCTCACAAAATAAGATAGTCTTTTGATACCGGGACAGATTCAGGAAAACAAATAAGCAAACAAATACAACAATACGAAGCTCCAGGGCAGCTGGGAAAGGAACCATCTGGAAAATGGTAGAGCTGGAATCTTACCCCAATGTGGACTGTTGGGAAGGGGGTTTCGAGTGATGGTCTAGTGACAGAGAAACCTTGATTGTGACTTAGTTTTCCATATACTTGTGTGAACTGGAATCATGGGCGCCTTCCTGGAAACTTGATTCTTGTCCTTGTAAAGTCTGGACGTCGGCTGCAGACGGTGTCGTGTGGGTTCAGATGTTCGAGAGCGCCTTAGCATGGCACCAGGCTTCCGTGAGTCCTCCCTCCCTGGTGGCCAGAAAGAAAAAATGAAAACCATCTTACACGGAAACAAATTCCAAATCCACCTAAAATAAGTAGCAGACAGAAAGATGAATCCATATTATGATCTGTCAGGACGGAGAAGGTTCTGTGGAGTGAACCCCAAGGGCAGAAGCTGAGTCCACCCCAGGGTGACGTTTCTGTGGACTCTGCTCCCCCCAAGAGGCAGGACGTCCCGATGTGTAGATGCTGGTTCCAGAACCCCAGTGCCCGGTTCACGTGCGAGCGTCACCGCCTTCTCGCTCTGGGACCCGCGACACGTTACTTTACCCCTCTGTGCCCCGACACAAGGGCAAATGCTAATAAAACCTATTTCTCAGGGTTATGTGAAGACTCAACTAGTTAATATTTGTAAAAAAAACTTCGAACCGTGGCTGGCTTGTGGCAAGCTACAGAAAAATATGCACACATACATAGACGGTCTGTTGTATTTGTTATCAACTAGAATTTCAAAGGCAAAAAACCAAGTAGGTAGAATAGTTAGAATTCTTAAGGTCATGGGCCAAATTGCGTCCCCTCGGGATTCGCATGTTGACAGTCCTGTCCATGTTCATATGTTGGAATATAACCGTATTTGGAGATAGGGCTTTTAAAAAAGATGTGATTAAGGCCACATGAGGCCGTTTGGATGGGCGCTAATCCTATCTGACTGGTGCCCTTGTAAGAGGAGGAGGTCAGGACACAGGGAGAAGATGGTGTCTCCCCGCCGGGGAGAGAGGCCTCAGGATCAACCAGTCCCGACCCCCCGATCTCAGACTTCCAGCCTCCAGCAGCGGGAGGAAATCCGTTTCCATCTGGGCCACACGATCTGTGCTATGGCGTTCTGACTGCCCCAGCAAATTAACACACTTACTGAATAACGATCTCCTCTAATCAGACACAAAAGTATTTTTCCCAGTTGAAAAATGGGCCAGGGCGCCTGGGTGGCTGAGTCGGTGAAGCGTCTGCCTTCGGCTCAGGTCATGATCCCGGGGTCCTGGGATCGAGCCCCGCGTCGGGCTCCCTGCTCGGCGGGAAGCCTGCTTCTCCCTCTCCCTCTGCCCCTCCTCCCCCCAACCCTGTGCTCATGCTCTCTCTCACTCTCTGTTGCTCCCAAATGAATACATAAAACATCTTAAGAAAAAAAAAAAAGAAAGAAAAGGAAGGTGGGCCAAGTACATGAACAATTGACTGGAGAAAAAAGTGGCCAGCACACATAAAAAAAAAAAAAAAAAAGCCATACTCAGCTTCACCAGTAATCAAAGAAATGTGAGCTTCGATAATGGCCTGCTAGTTGGCACAGCAGACTGACCAAGATGGAAGGAAAGAGGCCCCCCGCAGTGAGGAGCGGGGGCCCTCACTGCTCTGCCCTCGGCCTCGGCCACGGCCTCGGCCACGGCCATGGCCACGGCCACAGCCAAACAGCCCGTCAGCCCCGTGGAGGGCGTGAGCAGAGCCTGGGGCAGCACTACGGTACCTGCTGTCTCCTGGACGTCGTGCAGGTCCTGACTCAGCCCCCCTTGGATGCGGGCGCGTGTCTCTGGGCTGGCCCGGAAGGCCACCAGCACGCTGGCTCGGGAGCTCGACCTCTCAATGATGTCACTGAAGGTTGGTACGGCTGTGTGGCCCCCAAGTGTCTCCTCGTGGCCGTCTATAGCCCCGCCACCTCCCGCCCAGGCCCCCGCAGCCGTGGGTCTGGCTTCTGTCACCACAGCTCGTTTTTCCTGTCCCAGAATCTCGTCTGAATGGAAGCACTCGGCGGGTGCGGACTCTAGCCATCCAGCTGCTTTCGCTCAGCGTAGGCTCGCGGGGACCCGTCCCCATCGTCCCGTGAGTCAACAGTTCATCCCTCTTTTGCTGGGAGACAAGGAACGAGCAAGAAGAGCCCCAGGATGCGCGGCCCGCTGCCTGAGTTTCCAGGGAGGGCACATGGAGGCAGGGCGCGGCGGGCTCCCTAGGCTGGGGGGCAGAGGTGAGGGCCTGGGGGTCCCGGCAGCTGGCGTTCGCAGGGGGCCCACAGAGGAGAGAGGCCCAGAGAGGCCCTCCACAGGTCTGCAAGCCGAGAGCAGCTGAGCGGGTTAGAGCAGTGCCCGGTGCCCACGCGGGACCGGAGCGGACAACCTCATCGTCCGCGCGGCCTCATGCAGGACATTCCAGAAGGGCCTCGTCTCTGCGGTGACAACGATTAGCTGTGTATTAAGGCTGCCCATGGCCTGCCTCACTTGTCTTCAAAGCAAGAGTCAAGAAGTCTTTCCAAGGAACTCAACGGCATCCCAAAACAAAGCCCATGAATTCTCACAGAAATACAAAAATATCCGGCGTCCAACAGGGTAAGATTCACGAGCATGGTACAGCAGGTAGCAGGTACGCAGAGCAGGGGAGAAGTGTCACCCAAATGAGAGAAGTCAAACAGGTAAAGCTGATGCGGAGGGGACGCAGATGCTGGTTAGTGGGTATTAACCAAAGACCTTATTATACCTGGATTTCTAGACAGTCAAGAAATGAAGTAGAGACATGGAAGATATGTTTTAAAAAACCAACTAATCAGGGGCATCTGGGTGGCACAGTGGGTTGGGCGTCCGACTCTTGGTTTCAGCTCAGGTCATGATCTCAGGGTTGTGAGATCGAGCCCCATGTGGGGCTCCTCACTCAGCGCAGGGTCTGCTTGAGATTCTCTCCCTCTGCCCCTCCCCCCACCTCTCTCCGTCTCTCAAATAAATAAATCTTAAAAAAACACAACCAGTCAAACTCCTAGAAATGAAACCTATAAGGCGTGAGATAAGATGTGTGTGTGTGTATATAAATATACATGCTGGGTGGGATTCAGGGAAGATAAGACACTGGGTTAATTACTTAATTTGAAACATTAGCAAACTTGAGGATATAGCTATCTAAAATATTTGAAATGAAACACAAAGAGAAAAAAAGATTGTTTCAAGTGAAAAGGACACCCGTGAGCTGTGGGACGTCAGGGGGCCTGACAGGTGCTTGAGGCCAATGAAGGGTGTGGGGCGGGTGTCAGGAAAATACTTGAAGAAATGTCTCCAAATTCTCCAGTTTTCATGGAAGCTGTACATCCCCAGATCCAAGCGAGGCTGAGCATCGCAGACAGGAAGAAAACCACCCCAAGCACATTGTACTCCAATTGCTCAAAACCAGCGATAGAGAGGAAATCTTAAAAGTGGTCAGAGAGAAAGAACACTTTACATACAGAGGAACGAGGATAAGGACAAAGTAAGAAAAGCTGTCGGCGCTGCAAAGAGAAGCAGATGATCCGTAGCCGCAGGACGTGACTTCAGTCCCCACGTCCTGACCGACACCAGCAGACAGACAATCAGCAGGTGCGCGAGCCTCCGACAAAGCCGTCAGCCAGCCCTGCCTCGGGGACAGCCACAGAGCGCTCTCTCAGTGACAAAGGGGACACGCTCCTTATGATGTCCAACCACGTTCAGGGACATAAAACAAGTCTCAGGGATTGTCAAAGGATTCGAGCCACACGAGGTATGTTCTCTGACCACAACAGAATAATGTTAGAAATCAGTTACGTGAGGACATCCGGAAAATCCCAATACATGCGGACTAAAATGCACGCTTCTACATATGGGGTCACAGAAGAAGCCAAAAGGGAAATTAGAAAGTATTTTGAACTAAATGAAAATGAAAACGCAGCCTGTAACAGCCGGGGGGACGCGCTAAAGCCATCCTTTGAGAGCGAACCATGGCACTAAATGCTTGCAATGGGAAAGAAGAAACATCTCCAACCAGTGAGCTCAGCTTCTATCTGACGAAGGACAAGAAGAACCAATTAAACTAATGGCAGCAGGAGAAAGAAAATACTAAAGATCAGGACAGAAATCAGTGCCTTGAACAGAGAAAGGCAATGAAACCAAAGCTGGTTCTTTGAGACCAGATGACCCCCGCCGGGCTGATGAGAAGGAACACCAGACTCCCATGAGCCACAGCAGGCCAGGACTTATCTTCTCCTGACCGTCCTGTTCCTGGACTCGTGTTTATCATTCTGGACACACAGAAAGTACACACAGGGCCAGAGGAGGATCGCCAGGAGTCAGCAGGCAAGTGAGGGGACTCATATGGGGACTGTGGGGGTGGGGCAACGTCAGGTGGGGACAGTGGGGGTGGGACAACGTCTGATGGGGACAGTGGGGGTGGGGCAATGTCAGGTGGGGACAGTGGGGGTGGGACAACGTCTGATGGGGACAGTGGGGGTGGGACAACGTCTGATGGGGACAGTGGGGGTGGGGCAATGTCAGGTGGGGACAGTGGGGGTGGGACAACGTCTGATGGGGACAGTGGGGGTGGGACAACGTCTGATGGGGACTGTGGGGGTGGGGCAACGTCAGGTGGGGACAGTGGGGGTGGGACAACGTCTGATGGGGACAGTGGGGGTGGGGCAATGTCAGGTGGGGACAGTGGGGGTGGGACAACGTCTGATGGGGACAGTGGGGGTGGGGCAATGTCAGGTGGGGACAGTGGGGGTGGGACAACGTCTGATGGGGACAGTGGGGGTGGGGCAATGTCAGGTGGGGACAGTGGGGGTGGGGCAACGTCAGGTGGGGACAGTGGGGGTGGGACAACGTCTGATGGGGACAGTGGGGGTGGGACGTCTGATGGGGACAGTGGGGGTGGGACAATGTCAGGTGGGGACAGTGGGGGTGGGACAACGTCTGATGGGGACAGTGGGGGTGGGACAACGTCTGATGGGGACAGTGGGGGTGGGACAATGTCAGGTGGGGACAATGGGGGTGGGACAATGTCAGGTGGGGACAGTGGGGGTGGGACAATGTCAGGTGGGGACAATGGGGGTGGGACAATGTCAGGTGGGGACAGTGGGGGTGGGACAATGTCAGGTGGGGACAGTGGGGGTGGGACGTCTGATGGGGACAGTGGGGGTGGGACAACGTCTGATGGGGACAGTGGGGGTGGGGCAACGTCAGGTGGGGACAGTGGGGGTGGGACAATGTCAGGTG